ATTTATAACCATATTTTTTTTTATGGTCAAGTCTTCTAATACTTCTAAGTCATCCCTTCTTTTAGAGGAAAAATTGGAATATTAATGCATTATTCATTGTCATATCATTTTCCATGACACAAAGATTTAAATGTCTAAACAATCTATAACCATTTTTTTTTTTTATAGTCAAGTCTTCTAATACTTCCAAGTCTTCCCTTCTTTTAGAGGAAAAATTGGAATATTAATGCATTCATTGTTATATCATTTTCCATTGCACAAACATTTAAATGTCTAAAAAATCTATAACCATATATTTTTTTCTATGGTCAAGTCTTCCATCTTTTAGTATAACCATATATTTTTTTCTATGGTTAAGTCTTCTAATACTTCCAAGTCTTCTATCTTTTAGAGGAAAAACTAGAATATTAATGCATTTATTTTCATATCATTTTCCATTCTTATCTTCTTTTCCAATTTCTACAACCAATTCAATTGTAAAGATCAGAATAAATCAAACGATTTTTTTTTCATTCAATTAGATGTTTTCTGGGAATGCAATTTTAAAATTAAGAAAAATATCCTATAAATTATCATTTAGACCTTCTATGTTCAGTTCATACTATAACAACATCAATTATATATCATACGTTGATCTATGAAGCAAGCAATAATTTAAATGCCTTGAAAAATTGATAACCACACATGATATTTCTTATTGTCAAGTCTACTACTAATATTTCCAAATCTTCCTGCAGTCTTTTCAATAGAAATCGTGTCATGAATCCAATTTCTCCACATCATGTTACCTGCCTTACATTTCTGAGCAGAATAGCTGTTTTCAAGTAGTGTTCGATCGACGTATTAATCAATATTTGATTGGTTGGTTTGAGGTTATCGACAAAAAAGATTTCTCTAAGTCACTTTGTTTCTTTTTGTCCAATTTTTTTCTCATTCTTATCTTTTTCAATTTCCAAAACCAAGTTGAATTACTGGATATTTTTCACTACATCTTTTCTTTTAACATTGTGAATAAGAAAATGCCACAGGTATAAGCTGTTATGTGCTTAGATCCTTTTAAATTTGGTACGTGCTAGGGAAGACACGAGGCTATTACTATAAAAATACTACTTCCGATTTTTAATATAATACCTTGTTTGACTTTTATTTTGATCCTAAATATAAGACCATAATCTACTTTGTCTCTCATATTTATGCATTTTTTTCAAGGTAGTCCCTCTGATAATAGTAGTTCTAGTCAATACACTTGATTAGCAAGGATATTTTAAGAAAGATAATACTTATTTATTACAAATAACTAACTTAATTTCTTTCTTTAATTTTCTCAAATTAGTCAACTAGCTCTTATAATTAGGAGTGAAGTAATATTGAACGCCAAGAGCTCAGCGATTTTTTATTTTAAAAATGTTTTCCCCAACAAACCAAATCCTATGCTATGACTTATAAATAAAATAACTTATTATAATTTATTTTATATCATTGTTAATCATTGAAGGAGTATACACAGACACACTCACTCACGCAGTCAAAGTAAATTAATTTCATTTATTTTTCTTAGCCCAGAAATGAATAACTTAATTCTGATAATTGAAATTGGAATAGATATTTGTTGCTCTGAAGTTTGACTTTTACGCACAAGACGTCGGACAAAATTTTAGTATGAACCTAGAATTGTAAACCCCATATGCGATTTCTTATCAAATTTAATATAAACTAAAAAATCATAAAAATTGCGCGTGAAATTCAATAAAACTACATATGGCTCTTTGAGCTCCAAATTTTCTTTTTCCTTTTTAGCTTACTTATTGCTAATTATTTCTCCTTTCCTTTCCTATTCACGTGCCTTCCAAATACACGTGAGTGGATATGTATAAATATATATATAATTAAATACCTTACCTTTAAAATTTACTATACATTCTGGCTTTTATAGGTCCAAAGGAAAATTGATCTTATATACAAAATATTTAGGGAAAATCCCAGAAAAAGCCCCTGGAATATACCAAATCCCAGATTGGGTCCTTAAATTTCGAAAATGACAGAATGGGTCATTGATCCAATCTGTCATTTGTGAAATTCAGGCGAATTGACATTTTTGCCCCTGAGCAAAAGTGAGTAATTATTCTCTAAACAAATCTAGGTAATGCTTACACAGTTCTAGTGATTACAAGATTCGTTGTAGTTAATAATAAGGTACCTGACAATAATAAGATACCTGACTATGAAAAAATGAGTAGTTATTCTCTACACAAATCTAGGTAATGCTTACATTGTTCTAGTGATTACAGAATTAGTTATAGTTAATAACAAGACACCTGACTATGAAAAAGTGAGTAGTTATTCGCTACACGAATCTAGATAACACCTAAACTCTTATAGTGATTCCTTGAATCATTGTAGTGAATGAATAAATGAGGACAAAATTGTCAATTCGCCTGAATTTCACAAATGACAGATTGGGTCAATGACCCATTGTCATTTTCGAAATTTAAGGACCCAATCTGGCATTTCCCATATTCCGATGACCTTTTTTGGGATTTTTCCAAATATTTAACTGACGTACAAATAATGTAGATTGGCCAAAAAAAAATATTGTAGAAAGCATTCATTCATTGTCTTTAGTCCAAACACACCACAAAATTATATACCTCTCAAATTCAAATTATATTGTATGTTCAAATAAAAAAAAACAAATGAAATTTTAAAAATGAAACTGTCATCATCACTGCAAGAAAACAAAGGATTAGTGATGGAATTTAGAGACAAAATTTTTTTCCATCACTAATCCCTCACAAATTCCATCACTAAAATTAGTGACGGAAAATTTGTCACTAAATTAGTAAAGGAATAAAATTTTGTTACTAAATTAGAGGCGGATTAGTGCGAAATTTTTTTCTGTTACTAAATTCTGTTACAAGTCCATCACTATTTCTGTCACTAATTTCCATCACTAACTCTCATTTTGTGACAGAAATTAGTGATGGAATTTTTCTATCACTAATTTTCGTCGCAATTCCAGCACTAATCCATAAAAAAATATAATATAAGTATATAATAATTATTTTTTAAACTTATTATTTAAATGTAAATAAAAATACAATATATGATAGTTTTTAGATAATATATTATATAAGAACTTAAAAATACAAATATTATAAAAGAAAATAAAAATAAAAGTATATAATATACTTATTATTTTGCTAAATATTAGAATTAGAAATATAAATTATTAGAAATTTTTTACTAAAATATAAAAATTAAATTCAAATAAATAATAATATATTAAATTATGTATATAATATTTATTATATATATTTGTAGTTGTTATTAGAAATATTATATATTTATTTATTTTTGCATAAAAATTTTGCAAGTGTTTCTCAGCTCAACTGGCAAAGGTTTCAGCACGTGCGCACCAGGTCTTAGGTTTCAACTAACACTTCTTCACAAGTTGGCTCAATTTGTGACATGACGATGATGTGGACAAGGCGATGACATGGTGGCTCATAACGATGGACACGTGATGATGACGTGGATGCTAGGATGATGTGTCTGCGTGGGAGAGAGGAGGAGTTGAGGTGGTTTCCAGTGATGACATGGTAGATCACAATGATGGACACGTGGTGATAACGTAGAAGAAGAGATGTGGCAACATGAGAGAGAGGAGTTGGTGAGGTGGCAGCTGTTGATGATGTGGTGGGTCATAGTGACGGACATGTGGCGATGATGTGGATGAGGGGATGACATGACGACATGGGAGAGAAAGGAGAATGTGAGGTGGCAACTGGTGATGAGGTGGCAGTCACAAGTATGACACATGCTGGCGATCAATGGTTGCCACCGAAGCATGTACGAAATGACTTTTTGGATACGTCCAATGTTGTTCTAAAAGTGGTAGAAGTTGTTTATATACATATATATTTCCTTCGGTTTGAAATATAAGATAAATTTTGTTAGAGTGACTTTTTTTTATAAGATAACATTCACTTTTTGTCTGAGTGGTTAATGAGTTTTTTTTTTAAAATTTTATCCCTAACATATATTCTCTTTCTTTTTTATTTCATTTATTACATCTTTTACTTGTTCTCTTCATTAATAAGAGCATATTTAAAAAAATACAGGCCTTACATATTTATTGTTAAATTGATTTTAACCAATTTTTTAATAAACATAAATTGATAAAGTTTATGTTATATTTTGAACTGAATTGAATGGTATTTTATTTTTGGGAAACCAGTATTAAATTTCTTTTTCTTATACCACGGAAAGTAGAAACCAACATTGAGTTTATCATCATGCTCTTGTAATTAAATCACAAACACTTGTCAAAATGCCAATATGAAGAAATCATTAAAAAAGACATAAGGATTTTTTTTTCCTTAAAAATAAATGTTTTAGCCGTTGACGTTTTTTATTTAAATTTAAAATTTTTATTTTATTATTGATAATTTGAAAAGTTCAACTAGTTGATATGTTTATTAATTATTTTTACTCTATATATTTCAGTCTTATAGCCTTTTTGTTCGAAATCAATTTTTATTATTTTTTATATTTATTATTCAAAATAGTTAATGTATAATTAAAATATATTAATTTAATCACTATTGTTTCAACCACTGCTCAACCCCAGTCCCCAAGTTTAACTACTATTAAACAATGAATCAAATATAGATATTTTTAATACCTTGCTCCTGGTTTGCAATTGCCGAATAGAGAACAACCAACAATTTATTTTAGTTTATATTATGCATGCAACTTGGGAGGAAGAAAAAACAAAGAAATTCACCACTCATCACTGACTTTGACCTCTTCCTCCGTCAAGCAGCCTAGCTAGTTGCAGAAGAACAATTAATTCAGAAACGTATAATTGAGGGAATTCAAAGTGAAATGCCATACATTTTCCCTTTGAGACGTAATTGACGGATGTGTAGTTTAATCTTTGCCATTAATTGAAGTGGGACCTGCCAGACCCTATTCGCTATGTATAAATGCTGCCTTGAAGTGCACAAAATATACCATAAATAACTTCGAAGGAATACGAAAGTTAGGCAAAATCATGTCTTCCATAGTACTGCTTCTTCTGATACTATCGTCCATTGCACTGCAATTTACAGGTCTGTTCTCTGTCTCTCTCTCTCTCTCTCTCTCTCTCTCTATCTATCTATATACTGATGCATATATTCTAACAAATTCTGTTCAAGTATTCCTAAAATCTATTCTTTGGACCTTTATTCTGATGTACCAAAACAACATTTCTTTCTGTCAAGGCACTATAATTAATCATCATTCTGTCCTAAGTTATAGAAAGGTCATTGTTAGACCTGGCTAAATATTTCTCTTACAGAACTATCAAACGTTCAAAAGCGGTTGAGGCATTCATTAAAAGAATATATCACAGATGGGATATTGACGTTCTCATTGATTTTTTTTTTCTTCGCTCATATTCGATACTTCACATATATATGTCGGGAGTATGAAAATTTGAATAGAAAATCTATATTCAAGAATTTTTTTTTTTTAAAACTCTTATGACCCTTTACAATTTGAGAATTGCCAGTTTAATATGTTCTATATATTATATGCAGCTGTGAAATCCATTGGAGTGTGTTATGGCGTAAATGGAGATCATCTACCAAGCGGGCAAGAAGTGATAGACTTGTACAAATCCCATGGCATTGGAGGGATGCGCATATACTATCCAGATGAACAAGCCCTTCAAGCCCTAAGACGTTCGAACATTGAAGTGTTGCTTGATGTGGCTAAGGAAAATCTTTCCTCACTATCTGATCCTGCATATGCCAATCGTTGGGTTAAAAATTTTGTAGTAGCCTACTCAGATGTGAACATCAGGTACATTGCTGTGGGAAATGAGATTAGTCCTAGTGACGGAGAAGCAAAGTATATTCTACGTGGAATGCAAAACATTCAGAAGGCAATTTCTGCAGCAAATTTGCAAGGCAAAGTTAAGGTCTCTACAGCAATCAAAATGGATCTACTTGAAAACACTTACCCACCCAGGAATGGCAAGTTTAAGGATCCTGCAACTACATACATAAAGCCCATCATCGATTTCCTTGTCAACAATGGATCACCACTTCTCGCTAATGTGTATCCCTATTTTGCCTACAGTCCGCCAAGTAGCCCCATTCATCTTGACTTTGCTTTGTTCAAACAAGGAACAAATGACCCAGCAGGTTATCAAAACTTGTTTGATGCAATGTTGGATTCTATATATTATGCTCTTGAGAAGATAGGAGCACCAAATTTGCAGGTTGTTGTTTCTGAAAGTGGGTGGCCTTCGGATGGAGGAGCTAAAGGGGCCAACGTCAATAATGCGAGCACTTACTATCAGAATTTGATTAAACACGTCAAGGGAGGGATCCGGACTCCAAAACATAATGCGCCTATTAAGACGTACTTGTTTGCCATGTTTGATGAAAACAAAAAGCCAGATCCACCAACTGAGAGGCATTTTGGTTTGTTCAATCCTGATAAGTCGCCCAAATATGGAATTAGTTTCAATTAATACTGCTTAGAAAAGAAGAACAATAATAATAATACTAATAATTTGTACTCTTTGTTTTCCTTGGAATAAGTGTGCCATGAGCATGCTCATGTTTCTTCTTGATTAATGTATCGAGGTTTCAATGTTCAGAGTTAATTCTAATAAAACATTTTCTTAGTTACAGAAGCTCTAATAAAACTTGTGTGCAATGTTATTTTTGTATTTCTAGTTAGTTGATCTTTTGCTGCAAATGTTTGTTAAAAAAATGAATTTCGGCTTTCTTTTATATTTACTTTAGTTTCATTTGTGGTTTGATAGCTAGTAGCTCAATTTAGAGGAAAGTTTAAGAATTAACTTAAAGGAAATTTATTTGGTCATCCCTCGTGAAATGTCCAAGTAATTAACTTTTCAGGATATTTGAGGCACCGCTCTAATCAATAGCCAAAAAGTTTTGATCCGCCATTGACAAGAAGGAGTATGACGACTTTTTGAGTGCATACCATTTTGCCATATTTTTATATGGTTTAATTAGAAGCCTATATAACTCGACTATTTAGAATTTATTAGAGAATCTTTCACAAAACTTATACACTTTATTACATCTGCTCCTATACTAACTAAAAATTAAAGAGATTCGTATTTGTATTCTTCTTTTTTTTTTTTAAGTTTTTAGCCGTCTTTTAAAATATGATAGACTAAAATTTAAACATTAATTCTTTTTTTTTATTTTACATTTTGAAAGATAAAAAAATTGATGAGAAAAACGTATAAAAAATCAGTAAAAAGGAGACAAAAAGTATTAAAGTCCAATGCTTTTTTCTTTTCTTAACTTAAAATAATAATAAAGTTATTTTATAACTCATACTCCCTTTGGTTTTTATTATATTATAAGAGACCGCTAACTAATTTACATATACTAATAAAAATAGTCAAACATATTAAATTTGTCATAAAATTTAAATAATTTTCAACTCATTAACTATACTAAATTTTAATATCATATTAATTTCGACTCTCTCACCACCTTTATTAAATGTAGATTTTAAATACTCGTTAAAACCACCATAGGATACCATAAGAAGGACTACATTTTTTTTCCTAGAAGGGTTTTATAATAAGAACCAGAGGCAATGCATATCTTGATGACGTTTCTTCAAAAATTCTGTGATTTATAGAGGCCCCTGAATCCTAATTGCAGAATAGAATGCATCCAAGAAATTATTTTAGATCTACACACAAATTGTGAGTAGAAAACAAATTAAGGCCCCACCGTATTATTGACTTTAAGTTGTGACTATTAGTGTCTTTTTCTTAACAACTTGGTACGTTTCCTTTCCTGTGGCCTACTTGCAGATGAACAATGAATTCCTTGGAGCTGTAGTGATATTTGACGGACCTAAAAGTATTGGTCATTAAATAATGAAAGGAAAGATGACATTTAGATATCGTTTTAGGAAATTAATTACATTCAAGGATCTCCAATTTATGAAATATAAAGAAAAATCAATTTTTTTAAAAATAAATCAACAAAAATGCACTTGTGCATATGGTAAAGCATATCTCATATATGAATTTCAAAAGCTTAGATGCAAATCTTGAAGGCTTACTTGTAAATCTTGAAGAATAAGTTACAAATTAGTTGTAAACTATGAAATTTTCGTAAATTTTAAGAGATTATATAGTTGTAAAATATTGGAAAATAATTGCAAATATTAATTAGAAAATGTGTTACAAATTGATTATAATTTTTTAAAACAAAAGTACGTATTATTGAATGAAACAAGAGCAAATTACATGCATAACAAGTCCACAAAGATCAGCCTATGCCAACTCGCCCATGGAGCTGGCCTTGCACATATTAACATTACAATGCTTAACACCCGAATTTAAAGTATCAGAGTCCAGAATTTGCTGAAAACAAGATGGTGCTTTAACAATCATTTCACCGCGTACCATCTCATTCTTTGCATAAGCTGCAAAATATTTCTTTGGTCCTATTTATAAGTCACTTTTAGTATAGACAAAAAAAAAATTTTAACTTCATTAATTCTCATTTAAAATTTAACAACTTTTCAACTTTATCTCTATTTAGTATATATTATACCTTATGTATAATCGCAGACTTCAGACTTGTGTTGATTGTGGCCTTGTGGGCTTCAAGTCCTCTCTTTTTTCTCTTACTTTCAAAAATTTCATATTCTCCCTTAAATCAAAATAATTAATAACTGGTTGATATTTAATATTTTATAAAATGATTATTATAAACATAAATAAGTAAATTTAAAGTATTAAAATTTGACTAGCACGGTCCATAACTGCATTATAAAAAAAAAAAGTTAATTTATAAGATATTAAAAGGAGAATTATTGCTATAAAATTCCGAGGAATAAACATAATTACTCAAAAGTTTCAATAAGAAAATAATAACTTCTCACTGGTTGTCGTTGGACTTTTTGGTAGTTATTGTTTTCTCTTGAGATTTCATAGTAATTCTTGCAATATTAAGCATAAACCAAGGTTTTGTGTGATTTCATCCACACACTAAAAAAAAAAAGTCAACGAGTGATTAATGAACTAGAAATTAACCATGGTTTGAACCACGAGACCTAGCACGAGTGGTAGGTGCTCGGGTTGCTTAAGCATCCGTCCCGGGTTCGATCCGGGGGTGTGTACGCAGCGAGAATCGTGGCCAGCACCGAAGCCCTTTCGGGACTTCTAAGGTGCACTCCGGATTAGTCTGAGCCCGTTGAAAAGCCTGAAAGATGGCATTGGCCTGGGATACGGGGGAAGAAATTCAAAAATTAACCATGGTTTGAGGAGAAGTTCGATTGATGAGCTTTTGAGAAAATCTATTCTCTAAAATCATTTTTGATGGGGATTCGAGTTTCTTTTTCTCATTTTGGTCTTGGAATATTTTTGAGATAAAAAAAATGAGGTTCGTGTTGTCTCCATTACAGCTGAACGCAGCAGCAGTGGCACAACAAATGATTGATGTGTTAGACATAATTGGGATTCTGCATTTTGGAATTGCTGGAAGTGCAAATGACTCCATTTCCTTTGGAGATGTCACCATTCCCAAGCAGTTTGTTCATCCTGGCCTATGGGACTGGCTGGTACTTCAATTTTCTTTCTGTAAAACTTGTCAATTTTTCAAGTACCTAACGCTTGCAAATAGTACTAAAGAAACTCTTGAATTTATGGTTTGTGTTTGATAATGGCAGAAGCCGAATGGGACACTTGAAAGTAGTGACTTTGCTCACTTGGATTTTAGTAACTTCGATGTTCCAAGAGGTAACAATTTGTTGGGACTGTTGGCTACAGTTCTGAAGAATTCTTTTCTGTCACTGGAAAACCCAACTTAATTAGCACAGCGTTTGATCTGGGCTAAAGTTACTTCTCAGTGGCTTCAACTTGCTGCTACTTTGGAGGTTAGAACAAAACATGATGCTACTCACTATTAAGAACTTGGCCATATATACACCAATAAACCATAAGGATGCCAGTCCAAATTTCCTAAATACAAGAGCTAGATAACTAATTTATATAAATTAAATTAATTAGTTAAGTTAGTTATATGTAAAAAATATGTGTTATTTTCCTAAAATACTCTTTTTAATCATTTATGTTAGAAAATACTCATTTGATGGGAAACTCCACTAATATGTGTGATCAATATGGGGAGTTTAGGGTGAAAAAACAATAAACTTGGAGTAAACTGAGATCTTATATTTATAGCCAAAACAAACCCCTTTATACAAATTCTTACATTTAGGACTAGAAGGATTACTATGTATTTGTAAAATTCTACCTTTATGAGTCTCATTACCCTTTTCAACCCTCTTGATAACAGATGTATACGGAAGTGAGAAGCTGATAGTGTAATTTGTGACAGGGGATACAACTAGAACGTTGTATAAACTCGAGCTTTTGTCCTCCACATAGTCCCAAGTTAGTGGTTGGTGTGAATGGCACATCAGCCGACATATATGTCGACAATGAAGCTTACAGAGATTTCCTGTTCCAAACATTTGAAGTTTCTTCTGTTGATATGGAGAGTTTCGCCATAGTCATGGTTAGTATTCTTCACCACTTTCATCCACCTCAATCTTCATGCATATACATACATATGTAAACTTTTCAAACACATGCATATATTTGGTGTGAGGGAATATATATATACTACCTCCAGTTCTAAATATAAGAGCTAAAAATAAGTTAAGTTAGTTATTTGTAATTAATATTTGTAGTCTTTCCTAAAATATACTTGCTGATCAAATGTATTGGCTAGAACTATCATTATGAAAATGATTACCTTGGAAAAAAAGTACAGATATGAGAGATAAAATAGATTGGGTCTTATATTTAAGACCAAAATAAAAGTCAAACAAGGTCTTATATTAAGTACCGGAGGTAGTGGGTGTATATATATATAATGTAATAGTGCACAAGACTCCTACCAAGTAGAGGGTCTAGAAAGGGATGGATGTACTTAGTCTTGCAAGTAAGCAAAGAAGCTATTTTTAGGATTTGAACCTGTGACCTTACATAGGAGCAATATTACAGTTGCTTCCAAACACACCCTCTAATCTATATAATTGTCGGTGAATATAAATACTTTAAAATAATTTATTAATTTTCTTAATATCTTCAAATTAATTAGTTGGGTTTTATATTAAGGATTAAAGGTAGTATATAATTATTGGAGAATATAATGAATGTGTTTGATTGCAGACAAGCTTGTCGAATGGGATTCCTGTGGTAGTGATAAGAGGGATATCAGATATGGTGGGAAAGAGTGGAGAAGAAGCCATTAGCACATTTGGAGCTCTTGCTGCTACCAATGCAGTCACAGTTTTGCTTCGCCTTCTCAACATTTTGCCTTTCTCACTCCATCATTACATTTCATTTTTATAACTTCTTCCAACAATGCTTTACTTCTTACATCACTTTAATCTTATTGTTCTTTCTTTTGTATCAGCAAATATAGATGCAAGATAATAAATAAATTTTATCCCATCATTTTTTTTCTTAAAAAAATTATTTATTTTTAATTTGTGACAACCTACATATGCCAGCATCCACAATTGTAATTAATAGATTATGAGCATGATGACTATTATTTATAATTGAGAAAACTATAAGTACTTAATATAAAGAAAATTTAAAAAAACCTGATTAAAAATCATGAGACTGTAAGG